TCACATTTCGTATTCCTGTCCTCTTTTTTAAAAGCTAAAACATCTAAGGAATCCGATCACGTATTACTGGTGTTCCAGTTACGAGTATTCCTTCGTTCTAAGCTAAATTACTTATGTAAGGACTGGGTATAATGCCCAAGGCGGGATTTCAACTAGTAAAAAACAGAAATTCTTTGAAAATAATACGGTTTCGATTAGTATATGAAAGAAGACTTGAATTTTAACAGTTCATTTTAAGACAAAGGGATTTCAAGTGTTTATATATACTTAGTACAAAACTCACTGAGTCATTGTGATATCTCTCTCCCTAAAGAGCTATACAGACCGAGCCATTCAATTTGAACACAACAGTCTAAGAGATAATGTTTTAGACTTTTACCCGATTGTCGGACCAGGTAATGTGGTTCGAGCGTAGTTCTGTATGTATGTTTATTTGTACATACCTCATTCTTTGCCATGATCTTTAGCCTACGCGATTTAGAATATCAGGTGTCATTAGATTTACTTTGGCTATGTGAGGGATATATTATAGTGTGTAGAAATACTTTAGACTAATTTGGCTTTGAATGTAAGAGCTGCCCTTCGGTTGTATGAGTATGAGGTATGTTTAGTTTAGATAAAGTACAGTTTCTAAGGGATGTAAAAATGACTAGTACTAAAAATTTCACCAACTGGCTGTGTCGTTCTACAGCTCGCACGTTGTATTTTGTTTACGGTGTTTTAATTGATCAAAACAAAAACAAAATAATACTAACTAACTATTTACAGAAAAATAACAGTAACTTACTAGTTCCTGTTTTTTTCCCAAACGTTTTGTGGTAACTACTACATATGTGAGAACCATGATTCGGCACATTGTGACTGGCTCGACCGGAAAAAGAAAATTAAGCAATTGTTTTACTCAAAGGGGACAACGCATATGAGACTGTTGAGTACCAGGTGACCATGGCCGGCTATAGTCACCCACCATTAGAAGACACTTCTGCTGTTTGCCCCTTATACTATAAAAAATTGAAATGCAGCAAAGTTAAAGCAATTAATAGCAGTTAAATTTATACCTTAAACACAGTCTATTGAGTTCGTTGTTGAAAACGCTTTATTCTTGGCCTCATAATTCGAAGAAAGATGAACTTAGTGACAGACACACGTACAGAAATCTTACATGCGTGAAGATAGACTTTCTTGTAAAATATATCTAGCAAATATATTCCTTCAAAAACCCACAATGAAATACAGTAACTTAACATTCCAGTGTAGTGCGTGCCGATTGTAATTCATGCGTTCTTCATGTAGGCCAATACCGTGAAACCCATATGTAATGAGAATGCCTAAATGTTTCTTCGCAACTTGATACCGTTTTCAACGAATTGGTGAACAATAATATGACAAAAAATGTGTAGTAAAAGAAGTAGAAATAGGACACATTAAACATTTTTTACGAGGAATTTAAGACAGAATGACAAAACAGCTGTTTAAACTTTAGCTTTACATGAAAACGAGCCAAGAGCCAAGCGCTTAGCAAGATTAAAGATTAAAGACTATCTAAATATGAGATGATGATAAGATGGTTCTTATATACATCGTAGAAATACTCTGTATCACTCGTGTGTAACAAAATCAATAGGAAATTATTTGCTCCGCCTGACTTATTCATCAACCGTAAACCACTGCGGCTAGTTTTAAATTTTGGCAGCTGATGCTTTTTATGTTGTAAGAACCCACTACAAAAGAGATCTTTGAAAATAGAACGGATGTTTGGATGGGCCTATTGATCTAGTGGTTAGTGACCCTGTCTGCTAAGCCGGAGGCCGTGGGTAAGATGCCTACCCACAAAAAATATAGTAGTGTGTAGTATAGTGTAGTAATGTAAACATATTAACAAGCTTGTTGTTCGTCCAAAATTAAATATAATAAATATTTAAAAAAAAATGACTAGATATAAGCTTTAACGGAACGTTTAAGTTATTTATCAACACTTGTCATGTTAAAATATCAAACAATGTTTTGTAAAATGTGAATTATACTAAATTTTATATCGATTAAGGTAAATTAAAGTGAATTGATCATAGTATGACAAGTAATTCTTTCGTTATTAAAGTAAAGTAAATCTTTAGTAATTATTCAGAAACAAATTCCCCTAAAATACCCTAGAAATTACCGCTTGAGACTAGTTTCGGCTTGTTTCACGGCAACAAATAAATATACTGACTATAACTATACTATATAACTATATCCTATATAACGGGCCTATTGGTCTAGTGGTTAGTGGCCCTAACTGCTAAGTCGTGGGTTCGATTTCCACCCAGGAGAAATATTGTGTGATGAGCACGGTCATTTGTTCAGTGTCTGGGTGTAATTTATCTATAGTATGTGTGTATTTAGAATTATATAAGTATGTTTGTCAGTGGTCTGGTTACCATAGTACCGGCTCTGCCTAGTTTGGGATCAGACTGCTGTGTGTCACATGTGTTAATGTATTAAATTCAATTATAACATAATAACAGAGGTAATATTAATAATTTGTAATTTTAAAAGTTTGAAACACGAAATAAGGAATAACCACGCGAGCGCAGCAACGAGCAATAGCTATTGTATAGTTATGATCTTCCAGAATTTATAAATAGTTTAAACAATAATACAAAAAACTGATATGCAATCTAAGTATGAATAGCATTTTCTAGCAAATTCAAGTGAAATCTCGCCGCTACTTGGTGAAATATACTTGTAAAAGCCGATGCGGTCGAGTCCAGCAAAGCAAAGATTACAAAGAAGTTGATACGCTACATAATATTTCAAAACAGTACCAATTTAATAAAATTGTGTATTCATAAATAAATTCATGATAGATAACTGATATTTCGTTAGAATACGTTGTGCTGAAAAAAAAATACGAACACTTACAACAAAATATTTGTTGGTTTACAATAGAATATTTTTTTTGTACAATACGAGTGGTATACTTCACGAATAGCTATCGAAAATTTTGCTACATTTAAAAGAAAACCGTATTATTTATTTCTCGTTACAATAGAATACTTGATGTGTGGAGAATGAAGCTATAAATATGTAAATAAAAGATACGGACCTATCTAGTTTTGTGGGTAGCTGAACATAAAAACTTTAGTGTTCACCCATGTTGTAGGTCAGATTTGTCACGCAAAAATATAGAGATATGTGTTACGGACAGTTTTCTGGAAGAGTCTCATTATTTGTTTTGACTGGCCTGTTGGTCTGTGTGAAATCCGTGTGGTGACGGAAGAATACGGAATGTCACCACCCCTGTTCATACCGTGGGTGTCGTAAGAGCTGACTAAGGGAGCAAACTGTGCAAAACAACAGCTCTGCAAAAAGAAGGAAAATTGAAACAAACCCTATACCAATCCCTCTGGCCAGCGTGTTATAGTAGGCCGAAATCTACTTTTTAAGGAGAGGCCTATGTCCAACAGTGAACTACTAAAGGCTGTTGATGATGATGATGATTACCTGTTTGACGACATACAAGGGACCTTGAAAATATGTTTATAAGCATCAAATGCTTTTGTTTTTTCTAACTCATCATCAAAGATGTCATTGGTGTGGATGTTGTCTGTCATCATTTTCAGGAGTGTTGCCCTAATACACGACACCCACATATACAGCTAAATATAGCTGTATGAATTTCTATGTTCGTGTATTTGTATGTATACTAAATCTTCAAAAGACCGACTGGTAATCGTGCAATATAAAGTTTTTAAATAAATTAAAAAGGATAATTTAAGTTTATTTCATTAAATATAAGAGCAAGATATTGAAATACGAAAGATGAAATAGTTTATTTTTTGTTCAGTGAATAAAATGTTTGAACAACTATTTACTTAATAACTTAACGATTACTAATATAGTTCTTACGACTGTTAGTTTAAGTAATAATTTCTACAACGGCATATCCGATTGGGTAATATTTCTACAATATATTTTCATTGTTGAGAATACGGGTAATTACCGTCCCAGCAGAAACTACCTTATTTGTTCTACCTTCATTTCCTACATTTATTCCCCTATATCTCGGCTATTTACCGCACTTAACTCAGTTCTCTTCCACGAAAATTTAAATGTACCTAATTTTGCAAACGAACACACAGTTTTAACAGTGTACTGGAAAACCTTCGGTTTATGTCTAGTTTACTTAATTGGAACGGACCTTGGTCATTTTAATTAAGATTGGGAAAACTATTAGTTGTCTTTGTTTTGCATTGAACCTTGATAGTCCGAATAGTATACCGCTTTATTGAAATGAATAAAAACAGTACTTTAAGATAAGATCGTAAGAGCTAAGTGGCTTTATTAGGACTGAAACGGATGAAAAATAATAAAGAATTCTGATATCAATCAAAGAATATGTATCAGAATGATTCTGTCTTCGCTATACTATAAAAATCAACCAGCAAGACACTTTAGACAGTAGCCTCTTTTTTTTTGTTAATCTGTGTAACGCTTTATGAAGATACTTTAAGGATTTCATACTTAAACCCAATTAGACCCAATTAGAATCAATTTCCCTTACATTTATCTGCCTATTAGGTTATTTTCAGGAAGAAAGCAGGAGGCAGAAGGAAGGCATTGACTTTAAATTAAGTCTATTAGATGTTAACGCTAAGTGAAAATAATGAAATAACAACAAATAGACTTAAGTCATTAAAAATCTACAGAGTCTGTAATGATACTGCTTCTGCTCTGTTTGTCTAGGTATACCGATATTATAAAACTGAAGAGTTTATTCGTTTGGTTAAACGCGCTAATCTCAGGAGGTGTTCAAATTGAAACATGATCTTAGTGTTAGATAGCCCATTTATTAAGGAAGGCGATAGGCTATAGGTAATATAATATCACGCTACGATCAATAAATACGAGCATCAATGAACAATTTTGTAAAAACGGGGAATTTTTTTTTTAGAGACGTAAAGGTTGCGCGGGTCAACTAGTCGGTGATAAATGATTTTGCTCACGTGTGTATTTCGCGGATGGTCGACTGCAAGACTATGCTCCGTAACTTCATATTGGACAAGGGCCCTCTTTTAAGGACTGAGAAGCAAGGCACACAACGGTGTGACGTCAGACGCGGTCGGAAATACGCACACACGTCTAATAGATATGAATAGTACCCATAAAAGTTTTTATTCTTACTTTCTCTTACCTAGACTCATTAATCACGAAAAAAATCAAGACCTTAACCAACGAGGATCTAGCTAACCAGAAGTTTTAGTAGTAGTAGTAATTAACCAGTTTTCAATTTGTTTCCTTATAGTATGCGATAGTCTGTAAGATAATACAACCAACAAATCTACTGATGTACAAACATTGCTCTATATACAAAATAACTTGGTAAACCCTTAGGTCGAAACTAACTATTTACACTTTTCAAACACTAATCAATTTGACAACCGAATGGCGTAGTGGTTGTGTAACGAACTGCTATTCCAAAGGTCGCGGGTTCGATTCCCTATCAAGTCAAACATTCGTGTGCATGAACATTTAGTGTTTGATTTGGTCTGGGGTAATAAGTATGTATTTACAAAAGAAAGTATATATGTATTTATATCAGTTGTCTAGTACCCATAGTACAAGCTTTGCTTAGTTTGATGCTAGATGGCGTTGTGTGAATGTGGTAATCTAATATATAAAATTCTCGTGTCACAATGTTAGTTACCATACTCCTCCGAAACAGCTGGACCGATTTTTATGAAATTTTGTGTGCACATCGGGTAGTTCTGAGAATCGGCCAACATTTATTTTTCATACCCCTAAATGACAAGGGTGACTCATCCCTAAATATTTTTTTCAATATTTCCTAGAAATAATGTATATGGCAAAACAACGTTGCCGGGTCAGCTAGTTATTATTATATTATTAATTTTAATTACTATACTTTAACTAATAGACGCGGCCTATTCATCATAAGACATGCAACATTTTTAACTACCATTTTCACTACTTACTCTTTTCTCCCGCAGTGCCAAAGGTAGAGATAGTGGATGAACGTGGGCGTCCTCTCCAAGACAAGTTTTACAAAGAAGGCTCCATCATCGAGCTGAGATGCGTCGTGAGTGAGGTGCCGCAGCCAACGAGACAAGTCAACTGGAAGCATGGTTCTAGACTGCTCAACTACGATACTAAGAGAGGAGGAGTAAGGTAAGGAATAATAATAAATAATAACAATATATCTCACACACTCACACACGGCCGTCTGATCCCAAACTAGGCAGAGCCTGTACTATGGTAACCAGACCGCTGATAAACATACTTATATATTTCTAAATACATACATATTATAGATAAATTACACCCAGACCACAGAACAAATGACCGTGCTCATCACACAATATTTGTCCTGGGTGGGAATCGAACCCACGACCTCTGGTTTAGCAGTCAGGGTCACTAACCACTAGACCAACAGGCCCGTTTGGAATATAGCATATGTCCAAATGCTTTGGAATATGTTTTATCGCCGTTGCTTACGCGGTTCGTCTGATGTTCAGTATGTAAAATACGAGTACCAGGGACTTGAGGTCTTGGTAGCGGTACACTTTATAACTTTGAAATTTGATCTAAAGAATCGGTCGAAAAATCAGAAGACCATTGTTAGGCACCACAGCTACGAGTACCATATTATTAGAACATATTATACAGGTTTGCAAGTATTTATGCTGTGTTCAGTCAGTTCGATAATTTAAATGTATCAAAGTACCAAAAATAAAAAAAAGTCACTTCAGTTACATATTATCTTCAATTTTACCATAAAAGGTTAATGCCTTTATTTTAATACTACTTCTCAACATCAAACAATTTTATAAAGGCAGACGTGCTGACAGATAAGCGTACTCAGCGTACTAAAAGTAACAACAAAGTTGTTATAACCAGCTTGAATTAAAAAGTATTTTATTAACTATATCTGAACATAAATCAAAAGATAAAAAAAAATCTTTCTATGGTTTAGTCTTTGAGAGAGGATGAGAAATGATTTGGCCTGAATTAACGGCAGACAAGGTACATACGGTCTTTGATGTCCTTTTTGTTTTAATTTTACGAGACAGACGTTTTGTGTAGACTAGAATGTTTAAGGTCAAGCGAACTAGAACAAGAGGCACTCTGTATTATTACTTGGAAATGTAAATGACGTATCCATGTCAGGGTATATTCATTTGCTCGAGGAGCTCTCATATTCCTGTCTAAATAGACTAAGTTCCATTTGTGGTAGTCATGGTTGTATGTTAAGTTCTTTAGGAGTTTTATAACGTGTATTGTGTTAATATAAATTTATATTTATTTATTTATTTTATTTGTTACTAACTTGCTAAATAACTAACTAATGGAACAGTAGTATTGAAATTAAACTTTGATCTAACGATGGGTAGTAGAGCTCTGCAGTGGTTATTTGTAAACTCTATGAGTTTGGAATTAGATGACGGTGATTGTCTTCAGACTATCGTTAGATGGTCTGTTGATGAAGCCAATAGGTGAAAAGTGGAAATATTTTTTACTTTCGAACTCGCTATTTTTTTATAAAGAAACTATAATTATTTTAGCTGGCATCAAATTATTTATGTAAACTGTCTACTCTTTCATATTTCAAATACCGATAAATTGTAGACAAAAAAAAACACGCTTAAAAATTTGATATAAAATAATTTTACATTTTTGTAATTAGGTTTGTAAATATTATTTTTATTCTAGTTTAAAAAATGAACCAGTTACATGTAGGTACATAATTATGTATACATTTGTAACGGATATAAAGTCTTCATATTTAAAACAAATTTTTGAATGGCCTGACTTTTCGACAAGTTTCATCTGGCAGTAATCAATAGCTAACCACTTCAGATTAAATCCGTAAGTCAGAAATTTAAGTACGTGAGGCAGAAATTCTATTCGTGAAGGGGTTTCATAGGGAATTTAATATTCTGTGAATGAAATTAATGTGCTTTTTAACGGTTCAATAGTAGAAAATAGTAATGAATGGTTTTTTGAAGACCGTAGGTATATATAAAGCTTCCTATCGCATCCAAAACAGTTACAATGATTTTCTACTTAAAAGAGTTTTGTTTTAGTAATCCGTGAGATCTTTTGATCTTAAGAAGTTGCAAACCTTTGCTAAAAAAAATCCCTGAAATAGCTTCTAACGAAAATTACTTTTTTGAACCAACCCAAAATAACTGAGATTGTGCTTTTTCCGTGATCTAAGCAAAAGGATATCAAAACAGCTGAAAATTCAAATAGAAATTTTATTTCTCTAATAAAAGGTTGTATTTCTTAGCTTTAACAATTTTCGCTTTTCTGACTTTTTTTAAATAAAATTTTGCTTAGTTTTAAATAAATATAAAAAAAAAACTTCTGTATTAACAGAGTACAGTCAGCAAAGAAATTAGTATTTAATTCATCTTCATGACTTGGAGAAATTCTATTCTATCCAACCAAACATACGAATAAAGTATATCAGTATTTCAGACTCAGTCTCAATCAATATCGTGTATGTTTTGGCATTTAATTTATTATTTATCTTTTATTAAGTATTAGTTCGGAAACACAATTGACAAGATTATCAATAGAACATTAAGATAAAATAAGTTGAATCAATACACGACAACCGACAAACAATACACGATTTTAACGATTCAATTAATTAACTAGCTAAAAATCAATGGGTACTCGACCAAGCAGTCCATTATCTTGGTTCATTTAACGATGTTTAGACGCAAATATTATTCTCTTAAGTTGGACTCTACTCTCGGTGGACAGTAAAACGAATCTGCAAATTCAACGCTCACGTTGATAGCGTCCTTTGTGGAAATCGAGGAAAATCAAGAAGGATAAAAACTTTAGAAATCAAGTCGAATTAAATCACACGTTACACCATTACTTCATCATTTTTCACATCGTAAGTAAAAAATCGATTTCTAAACTCAGTATTAACTCATCTGGTTCCAGTAATTTCCTCCTGATGATGTGCACAAATTGGAGGATTTAAGTCTGCGAAATCACTGGATGGAATGGGAATAATTTCAGACATATTATTCATGTACCTATTAGTAAAATAAACCTGAGACCTCTGACATCGAGATGACTGCCTACATTCGTCATCAAATAATTACTGTTTGAAATTGCGTAGCAGGGTTAGTGCGTAATAATTTATGTCTGCATGTATGTAAAAAATGATATCACGTTTTCAAATCTTAGTTGCCAAACTGCAAATTTCAGTAAAAGTACGTTTACCGTTGGCTTAGCGTTTTACATTAACAGCCTTTAATAGTCCACTACTGGAAATAGGTCTTTTCTCAGAAAGTCCTGTTGTCCTGCGTAGTTTTCCCCCTTAGTCGGCTCTTGCGACACCTACGGGATGAATAGGGGTGGTGACACTCCGTATTCCTAACCCGTAACTACTTTACTATTAAATATACTGCCTCGTAGGTGCAGTGGTAGCGTATGCGACTGCTGTGCTGAAGTATCGGATTCGATTCCCGGGTGGGACCAAATGTTTGTATGATCTGCAAATATTTGTTTCGGAGTTTGGGTATTTTCTATGTATAATATGTATGTTTTTACAAAAAAAGTATGTAAGTATTTTATCAGTCAATCTAGTTTTCATAGTACAAGCTCTGCTTAGTTTGAAACTAGATGGCGTTGTGTGTCAAATATGCGAGATATTATAGTTTCTATTCTTTACCGTTCTAGAGACTAATATAATCCACTTAAAAATTAAAACGGTAATATTTCTATTTAAAGCAATGCTCCAAGCGTTGAAGTTAATTTCCATTGTTATTCTGAACTGAAGTATTTTAGAATACCAGTGAATATAGTTCTAAACTAGGAGTGTGGTACCCGATTATATCACCTGGTGTCAAATAGAGACTACAAATTTAGGTTGAATGCTGATGATGATGATGATATTGTTCGTTTTTCCTAGATTTGAGTAATGTTTTTGTGATTTTGTATAATTATATTGAATAGAAACTACAGAATAAAACAAAAAGTGATATTTGTTTTTGGAAAATTTAAGACTCTTTATTTCGTTGTAGGGCTTACACAGGCAACGTTCACTCTTTCAATAGGATTTCGACTTGTCAGGATAGTACCACTATCACGTAATGATAAAGGGAATCATATGATTAATTGCTATATATCACGCGTGTAACCCAATTCAAGTTTATCTGCTTACAAAAGGGCGCCTAATAAAACTAATCATTTACTTTCTTAAGTGGTTCGATGAGTGAAACATTGAAACAAAAGGCAAATGTAGTAACATAAACAAATCCTTGCACCAATACTATAGAAAGTACTCACAAATAACAGTAATTCAAGACAAACGTTAGTTACATCAATTTAGTTATAAACAAGATAAAGAAAATCTTATTTATCAAGCGTATATTTATGCCATGCCATGAAAAAAATCACTGCCGATATCAGCCAGCCTCCAATTGGTACTAAATTATAATATTTGTTTTGGTAGCATTTACTAACGTGATTTACTGGGCCATATTTAATTGGAACAGTTTAGAAATTGTCAACAGCTTCTGTTGAGTATAATGAATAGGATTTTAAACCAGTTATAATTAAAATGACTTGGTCCATATCTGATAATGGTTTTCAAAGGCCTTTATTGCTTAGTGAAAAAATGTCATAAGTGCTCTCTTTTAACGCAAAAGATGTTTGGAATGGCGGAAATTGTCGAATTATCCTCGGTCTATATTATAGGGCTTTTTTTGCCTCGCACAACCAATCTGTGGAACAAGTTATCGTCTGCGGTATTTCCGTACCGATACGACCTTCAAACCTTTGAGAAAAGAGTGTACTCGGTATAAGCGGCGGTAGTCACTTTCCATCAGATGACCCGTCTACTCATTCGATCCCTCTTTCATAAAAAAAACCTTCTTGTATTGAGCGTCGGCTGATGTATTAAGGCGCACGAAACTTTGAAAGCTGCCGGATCGCCGTAATTTTTTAATTGGACTATCGTATTGGCATTTATCTAATAACTTATCTGACCTCAGCCCCATGCCCATCAACAAGAAATATATTAAAACCGATAAAGGAATTTTACGACTAAGAGTCTTTAACTACATACCTCATTTGTGCACAACGTAGTCGCGTCGTATTTACGGTCCACGTGTACGAGCTTGATTGCTGACAAAGCCTAG